ACCAACTGCCAAACTAAACACGTGCTTAAAGACATTTATCATGGTTCTGTTGACATAAAAAAAGGTCGATTTGTAAGACATAAACATTCAGATCAACTATAAGATTCTTACAGTCCTAATTGCGTTCAATTGTTCAGGTACTTTGTTAGTTTTTCAATTTAACTTCTATACGATTTGCAAATTATTTGAGCGACAATACTACAATAACACATTTTAATTTCTAAATCATTTTGAACATAAAACTTTATTTCAAATTCGGCCTTTAAAGCACTTTCAAGTGTTTTTAACTAGACAGAGCTAAAATTGGGCTACAGGTTTATCGAGCTATTATCATTGTATGGAAATTAAACACTGTTCAAACTTCATAAAACAAATAACACAAATTTCGCCATCCTTTTTAATACATATCCTGATTGTTTAAGATCTAGAATCGTTACAAACTATTTGCGAAACTCTGACAAACTTCGGAAACTCACAATGGTTGAATATTTGAAAGGCATCCATTTGCGTTTCGAGGAAAGATTCAAGTAAAAGTAAGGAAGACTGTCTGTGTGGTATCATTATAGGTCTGAAACAGTCTGTTGATTGTTTGCTATATACCTTTCTTCAGAAATGGATTAGGGAACGACACTTATCTTGCACAAATAAGAAAATAAATGATGTGTGTTTATGAATGTATGTCAGACAAATTGTGATTTGAAATCGCAACCTATTTTATTACAGCAAATTATCTAGTACTCTATAACTTCTTTGAATATTGACTTCCATCCTAATAACCTTCAATGCGAAAACAAATTGTTTTGACAAAAACAATGCATCTTTGAAATATAGCACACAATAAAAACATGTTCTATTTTTTCTTATCTTATTGCAAGGCATAAAATGATGCAAACCAGTTGCAGTCATATGTGTTATGTAAAATGAATAATCAAAGAATTAAGTAATTTTGTGATATTGTAAATCGTGTTATAAAACAGTCATGATAAAAAATGGCGAATGGTAAAAGTACATTCAATGATAAGTGTCAATGATAAGAGACTCGGTCCAGTAATGTGAGGCACATTTGGTCTTAGATGAACTCAAATGGTGAGAGCATAAACTGTATACAATGTGCCATGCCTATGAACAAATCATGTGGAACACATTTGGCTTTAAATGTACTCTATTGTTGATGTGGAGCACAAGCTGCCTGTTATGTACTGCGCTTATTGGGTCCCGAGTCCGTCATCATTTTAAAATATTTTCGTGTAACATAAAAATTATTTTAGATTTACCTTTCTTAAATTGTAATAACGTGATAATTTTATTAATGCTCTAAATTCTTAGGAAAAAATTGTTTTCTTCACAGACTATCTGTTCGAATAAATTTTCAATTTTATTCACTATTTTCTGAAAATTCGAATTCTTATTATCAAAAATAAAATGCTATAAAATCACATATTCCGGTATTCCGGGTTGTGTTGTTAAGTTACATGTTTGTTAGGCTTTTTATTATCATTTTCACATCCAATGTAAAATAATTCAAACACGAGGAAACACTCGATACTTTAATACAAACGTAAACTTTGACAGCAGGAAACACTTAATTTAATCAGTGTGATATTAAGTTTCTGTGTTTATTGAATTGTTGACATAACATGTTATCGTAAAACAGGCCTGTTTACTTCATAATTGACACTATTCCAAAACTTTATCGTTAGAAACAAAATTACGGTTGCTCAAAAAGTTTTTGATTTATCATCCTATCAAATATCATGATATTTCGTGTAGTGAAACTTTTGGGTTAATCAAATGTTGGAAATATGTTTTGTAGTGCAATATTATCAGAAAAAAATCTGGAGAGAAAGTGTTCCTTCCAAAACATTATTCACAATAATTTTACATGAAAAATGCAGACTCGATTTGATTGAGTCTGTACATTAGTGATAATGAAAAGGTACAACAACCTTCACGCCCCCTAGCACCGGCGTGAGAATCGAGTGCTATAATCAATAAAAGTACAAGGCAACCTTTTTACAGCTGCTACTCCGCACTTGACACATGCTGTTGTCGTGTATAAAAATCTGGAGAAAGTTATTCCTCGGAAGCATGAACCACGACAAAAATACATGAAAACTATAGACTTGGTTTGATCAAATCTGTACATGAGTAAAAGTAATAGAAAAAAAAATAGTTGAAACTCAATATTTGCAATAAATGCTTCAATTCTATTGAAATATATGTGTTTATATTTCTTTCAGCATGTGTGACTAAATTTTAACTTTTTAACTAAGTGATAAAAACAAAAAGAAAATGAGTTACTTCTATTGGTTCAACATAATTTCACCTAATTCACATTGATACTTAAATGTTGTAAAACTTGAAAAATGCTTAATCTGTTTAAGTGACAATGGTGTTACCTGCAGATTGCATTAATCAAACTCAGCTTGTAACGCCACCGTTTTGAGCGTTCTTTGAGGTTTAAGTTTGTATTTCAGTAAAGTAGGTGACATAGGGTTTTCAAAAATTTGTTGTAGATATTAACTTGTATACCTGTATACCGCGTTGATAAATGACACACGTGCCTAAATGTTTGATATAAACGGCATGCATCTGGAGAATGTACTGGAGAATCATGATTATTTTTTCTACTTCTACTTATATGAATTTATGATACAACGCAGTTACGATACTTTGCTATAAACCGTTTATACCTGCATCTGTTCTTTCAGTCATACAACATCCTAGATATTTTCGTCTTATTAAGTTTTTCTTAAAAATATTATTAACATACAAATGCACATTTACCGACTGACCGATTTTTAGACTATTTTATTATTACGAATTCATATTAAACATGGTACATTTTGCTTTGATTTGTAAATTTATTTTTCAAAAAATAACAAAATGGTTTCAAAAAAAAATTATTAACATCTTAACAGTTGCAATATTTAAATTGAACTTCAAAGATAAATTATAATTAATAAAGAAACAGTTGCAATACTTGGTAAAATAAATTGGAATTGAAAGATAAGTTATTGTTGATCACTAAAGAATTGAATAATAATAGTCATAAATGAATGACAAGATAGATTTAGTTAAAAATAAAACACTTAGGTATCATTATTTACCATTAACCATATGTTAGAAAATATTTTAGAACATGATCTGTTCAGTTTAATTATGAATTTCGGGGGCAAGGAAATTGTCATGTTTATGAAATCTTTTATTTCTAAATATTTTGTTGATTCTGATAGAAAATACATGTTTATTGATTGATTATAAGAGTGTTTCTTTATCACTGTTTTTAATCAGTCAGACATTTTTGGTAATTATGCTTATTCGAAAAGAGATGAAAAGTATTACAGTAGCATTATTATAAAGATAATAAATGCGTGATAAAATACAAGTTCAAAAAATGCTACATTGATAAACAATTAATGTAATATTGTTTCTTTACCAACATTTTTTATTGGTCAGATTTATTTGTTAATTATGCTTATTCGAAAAAGATCATGTTTAGTATTACTGTTGTATTAATATATAGATAATACAATGCGTGATATAATACAAGCTCAAAAAAGATATTACATTGATTAAAAATCAATGTTAAATTGTTTCTCTATCAAAGTTTTTGATAATCGTCAGTTTTTTGTTATTTTACTTATTCGAAAAGACGATAAGTATTACAGTGGCATAAATATAACGAGAACACAGTGCATGGAATAATTCCATTTTGAATTGATAGATGCATGTGAAAACGTTGCCATGAATCTGTTGAAAATTATACGCTAGATTGATATTATTTGCAAGACACACAAACTATCTAGTTATTTTATATTTTGAATATTATTTTGATTCAGTTTTTCAGATTTCTGTTGCGTGAATCAAGAATCCATTTAAAATTTATGATTATTTGGCGTTATTTTCGTGAATTATCTTTTTATTTTGCACGAATGTACTTTAAATACTATGTGTTTTTAATCTTCAATTAGATATTCATTGAACAGATTTGTCTTTCAATAAAGACACAGACATAGTACAGATACACTTTAACTCTTTAAAACATTGATTAAATATATGCAAAGAAATAAACACAGTTGTTTTATGTATTGTTAAAACATATAGATTTCTTTATTTTTCGAATCAAGATATACATACATGCATGTGCTATTAAAAACGCCTAAAATAACAAATGTATATGTCGTTTTTATTTTGGTTGTCACAAATAATATTTTACCCTAATATGCATCAGAGTGATTAGCTGTTTAAAAGTCCTTTATTGTAACATTTTTATTACATGCTTTTCGGTGGTTTATAGAAATATATCAGTGATATAAAAAAACTGGTAATTTCACTGTTTTAAACAGTGAAATTACGACTTTGATAATTTCACTGCTTTGATTTTAAGCCCCTTACGTTGTTTCAGTGACATACCAGTGTGCACAGTACTGGGTACCAACTTAATGGCGTGACGTCGTAAATGACGTCACGTTGTATTATTATTTGACGCGCTTTTCATTCAGTATTAGGTTTAATGTCTTTTTAAAACGTTTCTTTGCATAAAATAAAAAGAAAATTTGTTTAGTTTAGTGTAAGATAGAAATATATTTCACCTTGTGAACACCAAAAGATCATATTTTACTCGTGGCTTCGCCACTCGTGAAATATACCTTTTGGTGCTCACTCGGTGAAATATATTCCGATCTTACACTGAACTAAACAAATATCCTCTATATAAGTATGAGAAACGTGCATGATTTTCGAGACATAATGCTTTATTGATAAGAAGTCATCGATAATTTTCGATATCGTAAATTGTAATATGCTTAATACAAAATAAAAATGAAAAATACTTGATCGAGTCGATACGATAAAAATGTGTGTTGTTGATTTATCAGTAAAGTATTAACTCTGTCGTCGTTTTTATGACACCAAACGTGAAACTTCTATTGAAAATCGATCAAATCTGCCCATGTGGTCGGACAGTAATAACTTGTAACAGCCGTTTAGTTTACTCTGTTCAGTTTGGTCTGTTTAAAACAAAATATGTCTTACTGGGCGGAATTAATATTGATAATGACTACTGTCGTGACAAAGGATTAAGTTCTGTATTAAAGTGTTGTTTTTACACAGCGGAGTTAGTGATAATAAAGTTGTTGATGACTTTGTGTTAATCAACGGCTGTAACTCTACGACATTTTTTCATTCATTCATGAGATTGGTTATTAATCTGTTTAGCGCCGAGAGATTTAAGTGCAATTGTTGTGGGAAATATGATTTCTGTCGATTCAAAATAATATTTTCTTTTCACGAAGTTAAGGAAAGAAAAGTGTATGTGGGAATAAATATTCGATGAAAGATTTGATTTAATATTATTTTATTTTTTAATAGTGAATAACTAACAGTAATTAATTAAAAATTATTTCAACGTTCGGACATTTATAAAGAGACTTTTGACTTTTGATACTGATTAGCAACAATTGATATTATTGTAAAACTTATGTATAATAACAGTAAATACACGTAGACTCAAATATTTGTTCAGTAATTGATTATCTGTCGCTCGGTTATTGTATTTCATTTTACCCTCTAATCAGCCTGTCAACCTTTACTAAAATGAGTGGAAAAGATCGATTGAAGACATTGGAACAGTTTCGCAATGACGAAGAAGAAAGTAAAAACTCATTCGTTTATGATATATTGTCAGAGGGCCATTTGCAGGCAACAGCTCATAGACACCGATCATATTCCATGCACTCAAGTAAATATCTCATACAAGACAATAGTACAAAGAAAAGACAGAATCAACAACGTCGAATGAGCTTGCCGCAAAATGGATCAGTTTTTCAAAAGGATCGATTAAACGTTACATTGTTTACTGATTACACAATCGCAAAGGAAGACCAAGAACAAGGTGATTCAAAGAATATTTTGAGAAACCGAAGAGCACGATCATTTAAAGAACGATCATCAGAAACAGGACAAACAAATCATAGAAGGGTTAGGTCGTTTAAAACTACATCAAAAGGCTTGGTAAATCGTGGCGATTCTTTCAAAGTAAAGAAAGAGGCTCATAATGATCCATTAAATAACAAAAACGTTACAGATGATTCAACCCTTCAGAAATTTAATAATTGTGTAATACCTCAACTTATAACTACGGAGTGTAGCGTGGATCAAAGCAATATCCGAGTACTACTAACCGGTGCTCGAGGTGTTGGCAAATCCTCCATAATCGATCAATTTATGACATCCGAATTCCTTGGAAACGGATCATTCAATGTTTGTAAGTAGATTGACACGCTTGATAAGTAGACGGCTTTAATTTAAAGCCGGATTTATAATATTTATAATAAGATTTTTCGATTCGATTTTATTTTATATTGAAGAAATTACAAGTACGGCGATTTTAATAACTTGGTTGAATTAACTTGCGTTATTGCTTTATTACTCGATAATTGTAGTCATCATATAAATACTATCTAATTGCAGTTTTACGAATTATTCGTCAATATGTATCATTACATCGCCACTAATAGAGGTATAACATGTTTAAAAGTCGTTAAGGGTAGCAATATAATTGATCCAAAATGTATTTTCCGTGTATTTGTCTAATGGTTCTCTTGATTAACACGACTCATTAATGAAATTACAGTAAAAACCTGGTGTTAAACACCTAAAAACCACATGCTATTCCGAATACACAAACATTTGAGTACAAATGCTCATGATGCTTGTTGAAACAATAGGCCGGTCGTGAATAACAAATGAAAAATAAAACAACTACAAAACAATACAAACAACAAAACAAACAAACAAAACCACAAAATAAATAAATACGAAACGAAATATAAGAAAACACAAAACAAGTAAAACCATGCATATGGCATCAAAATTATTAGGAGGAAAACAAAAACAAAACATTACACGAGATGTATGCGAGTTTTCATGAAATGCTATGGCTTTTTATATTAAATTGTCAATGATCATTACAGTGAAATGAGAAACGATATATTTTCTTTCACTCTTAGGAAAAGGAAATAACATTTAAGATGACAAATGACAGGCAATTATCGCTCTTAATATTATCTTCTACAGACAGGCCTTTTGCTTCATGTTTTATCTTAGAAATGCTTTCATGATGATAAAGCACACGCTTCAATAATAACTCAATAGTGGCACTCTATTATAATCAATGCCATTTTTTTGAGCTAGTGAACGCTCGGAAAATATGTGATATGGCCATTTCTTATCAAGTTAAATATGAGAAAATGAGCAAAAAGGCTGCTGTAGTCAACGCAGATTTGTTGAGCTACAACATTTTGTATTAAGCAAAGAATACATAATTCGCTTAAATCTTAGCAGCAAACTTCTAATGAATTATACTAAAGATAATATGCATGTATGATAAAAGTTTGATTATTTCTTACATAAACTGTAAAAAGCATTTCCTTGGAGTCTTTTATTTACATTACTAGATTGCTCATCCTTAATCATCTTTCTATAAGTATTAAGGTCTTCGTTTAAATATCGTGTTTTGTCTAATAGGTTACTGAATGACGACCAGTTAAAAGTAACTATTCAAAGACAAATTTACTTTAAAGGATCGTCACAAAATGTGTCCTATTAGAAAGTTAAGCATTATGTCGGATGCAATGTTTTATGTATGAAACGCTTTATGAAAATAATTAAATAAAAGACCAAATAAAAGAACAGAAAACGATTCTATTCGTTTGTGTACAAAAGGATTTCAGTTGCATAGGTGACTAATGGACTCTGGCTTAATAATTATTCAGTTACATCATTAGGTGACTAATTGACTCGGGCTTTTTATAGCCAATACATACATACAAGGCAGGTAGAGCCTTTGTAAAATCCCCCCCCAATGATTCGACCTCTGTAAGATCTGCTGTTTGCGACGTCATGGCTGTGTCCCGTTCCGATGGTCAAGTGTGCATAGAAATTCTCTTTGGTGTATTGTGTGTAACTGCGTTCGACCATGTTGATCTTATTTTGTATATTGTAAAATTTTGACCATCATACTTAGATGAGATCTTTTTATATCATCAATATGGAAACATGTAAAATCATGAAAGAAACAAACTATATAACAATAAAGCAAAATTAGATAAGTGTACCGTAAATCGAACTATGATGACTTACTGTAAATGCGGACAATTTAGAACACAATCCAGAGGCGTAAAGAAACAAGAAAAATAAAAACTTTGTGTAATAAACTTTACTTGCATTTTTATTATAAGGATTTCAATAAGACGACCACCTTTTACTCGGAGCCTACAAACATAAGCTTATCAAAATAACCATCAATATCAATACATAAGACGGTTTCTTCTTTGATACCGTAGCATTAAAATGATTATATCTTTATTAAAGCATTGGTTCATGTTTGCAAAGTGTAAGTTACCAGTGTTATTGACTTTAAAAATCGAAACGAGTTCAACTCAGATATAAGATGTTTATATTTTAGTTTTTATCAAAGATATTGAATGTTTTATGAATGTTTTTTCGAAAAAAGATCAACATGTCTAAAGGAAACTTTTAATTGGTGCCTCGGAGCACAGATATTTTCACTTGTGTTTATTGTGTTCCATAGAATACTGTTAATTGTGTTCGGAATTATTAATAGAAAACTTTTTGGCTATTACCTTTAACATATAATGCATTATTATATACAACATTTTTAAAATTCTAAATGAAGAAGAAAGATATTTATTGCAAAAAGAGATTTCATTTATTCTAACAAAATAATATCACATGCAACCAATATACGTAAACGCATACAGATAGACTTTTATTTATAACTGTGGACTTATATAAAATTCAGGAGTAAATAGTGATAAACTATTTCTAGCAGTAAGGTTAATTCCCATGCTAAAGGGTGATTATTGAAATGATTAATGAAATCCTATTTATTTGTCAGTCTCCAATAGAGGAGCGTATGACTTTGATATCAATACATTAAAGCTATCTTTATCAAGCAAAGTATGGAAACATGATGCCTAGTATCGAGAATAAATAGAGGCTTTGTCAGACATTAATATAAATGTATATAAGGATATTTTTATATTTTGAAAAATAATTGCCATCATGGGAGTTCAGAACAGGAAAAATCTGTTGAGAGTTATTTTGAGTCCAAAACTGTGGTGAATGTTTGTTCTTGAAATGTTATGAACAATGCAATAAATTAACTCTCACGTGCCTACCATATCATCGGCTTGAGCTTTGTTCCTTCTTTTAAAATAAAATTTTATGCTTGAGTAGCATACATCTCTGTTGCAAAGCTAAACTATAGATTTTGAAATGTTTGCTGGTTCTTCTTTCTCTGTCACATTTTTATACGAGTATTCTATTTCTATCAATATAAAAGAAAAAACAGTGTACAAGCAATACATATCAAATGATGTATAATTATTTTAAAACCTCAGAAGCGAAATAATAAATTATTCACCCAAGTATTACGTAAAAATTGCTCTCCTTGTTTTACAACTTCTTAATAACTAAATTACATAATAATTAAGTAGAGGGAAATTATCAGGAATTCTTAATTAACGTTAAGAAACTTTTTCCTTATTTTTAGAAATTCTCTTACCGTGTCAAAATTGTAAACAGTATTATTGAAAGCGACACAACTGAGACGTTTTGAAATGACGGGACTGTAAATAGTTTTCCGAAATTTCAATGATATGTGATGTAGGTGTATACTTATAACAACTAGTGTGCAATATATCTGGTTACTTGCTCTCCCCGTTTTTTCTAGAATAATAATTCTATTGCGTAAAGACACTAAAAGCGTCCAAACACTAAAAACTCAACTCGGTCTAAGAATCGCACTTAATGTCAATTTTCATTTTATTCTGAGCATATTACATGTACCTTATCACCTTTGCTATATATTTTTCCGTAGAAGTTCCCTTATTTGATCTAGTATGTTAGATTTTCAAATTTTATGTTTTAAGGCTTTTGGACATCAGTGAAGCTCATTTAATGGAAGTAACCAAGGTTATAAAAGCATACCTTATCAATACATGTGTAAGTGTCCTTCTGCATCATAGCTTAATATCAAGAAACTAGGAACCATTTTCCAAACTGCAAAAAGATGCAATGAAAAGAAATAAATTTGATCAATATCCATATTGAATTAAAATTGTTCTCTAAAAAGAACAGGTTGCCATTGAAATTAAGTTATGGTTGTTAAAACATGATTTTAAAGAACGAATCAACTAAACAAATTTATTATATCGGTGATAATTTCGATCATTTTAAGATACTGTATGTTTTATTCATCAAATATACAATCCGTGTCTCTAAATATATTTGAAAAACAAGCGGACAATTAAAATAAACGTATTGTTATTTAAAACCTTATAGTGGAACACACAAATGATTTAATAACGATTATTTAAGGGAGTGACTAAGTTTTTAACGGAAAAAATCAAAATAGCATTTTGCTCTCAAAATGAAAACACAGGCACGAGTATCGGACCTGGGAAGAAAAAATATGACCAGCAGATTGATAAAAAAAACCTGTGTTCATCTTAAAAGTGTCAAAAAAAAAACAAAAACAAAATGTAAATAATGACCCCCTTTAAAAATATACTATAAGTTAAGAGAAGGCCGGAAACTCCAGATTCGAGCCTACGAGCAAGGGATTCATTTCCCGGGTCGTTGTGAAAACAATTGGCCAGACAATTAAAACAAACTTTTATCACTATTTCACGTTTATAATAATCTTCAAAATGAGACCAACCCCAAGTCTCTAGCCCTTCCCGTTCATGAAATATCTATCAGGAAACGAGCGAATTCGTGCTAAAAATCCTTGGTAGACAGAATTGCGGCACAACAATTCGGTACGTAAACATAGACTAATACATGTATGTCAGCTGACTACGGGTCAAAATTACATGAATTTACTAAATAATATTACTAAATACATTAAGTTGGACCACTCACAATCGTCAGTAGCATCTGATACACACGAGATTCGAGTTTCAAACATTTACAACTTTATGTATTTAGTAATATTATTTAGTAAATTCAAGTAATTTTGACCCGTAGTCAGCTGACATACATGTATTAGTCTATGTTTACGTACCGAATTGTTGTGCCGCAATTCTGTCTACCAAGGATTTTTAGCACAAATTCGCTCGTTTCCTGATAGATATTTCATGAACGGGAAGGGCTAGAGACTTGGGGTTGGTCTCATTTTGAAGCTTAATATAAACGTGAAATAGTGACAAAAGTTTTTTTTTTATTGTCTGGCCAATT